AAAAAAAAGACAACGAAGATTGTATTTTCAAATAAATGGTAAATATTCACTTCTTTCTTATAATTTCTCAGTGTATGTTTTGAAATTTAGTAATTTATTTTATATTTAATGTAAAAATTGTAAAATAATAGTTAGATACCTTCTCTACTAATGCCATATTAGTTTGTTTTTTTAAAGTAGAATTTTGCTCGTAGTCTTTAATTGCACCTACTTATGTATATGTTACAGTTAAAGTATGAAATCCGTTATTTTATGGAATACCTAGTTATTCCATGAAATAATTGATCGTGTCCGTTAAAGTGTAAAACTCTCTTATATTTCATGGTTTAACTAGTTATTTCATAGAATAACGATCTGCAGCCCGTTAAAGTGTAAAATAATCTATATCATATATCTCGCACGACAAATATATATAGTTTGCTTCAAATGTAAGGAGCCTGTGTATATATCATGTTCGGAAGATTATGTTTCAGAAGATGAAGTTGAGCAGATAATTTGCAAATTGTGTTTTAATGAACTTAGCGTTCAAAGAGAAAGAGAAAAGTCTAAAAAATGCTTAGAAATTCAAGCGAAAAAGATGAAATTAATGTCGGATCAATCTCATTCTGAAGCCTCTGTGGGGTTTACCGTCCGTATCCCAGTGCCTGAAGTTGACAGAGGAAAAGGTGATGCCAAATCTATTTTAGCTATCATCATAAAAATAACGGAAGAAGAATTTTTCCAATTGGGCACAAGAAACGGCCGCATAAAACAATTATATTCCCGATCCCAGTTCAGTGTCTGCGAACAAAAATTAATTAAAATTGAAGAAGTACCGGATGTAGAAATATCGCTCCGGTCGGTTGCTACAGCTCAAAGTTTAGGTACTGGTCAGGGTTTTAAAGAATGTTCGTGTAAAACCCAGTGTGTCAATGTTCTTTGTAATTCCAAGTGTCATTTTAGTAATCCTTGTTGTAACAAATGATTTTATGGTACGTTTCCATAAATACCATTTATACGCTGCATAAATTAGATAAATTGCTTCTTTTTCATTTTAATTGTCTATCATTAGTTTATTTATAGAATACCTAGTTATTTCATTTTAAGATAAATTGTTTATTTTACACTTTAACTGTCTCTCATTAGTTATTTATAGAATACCTAGTTATTTCATAGAATAACTAGTTAAAGTGTCAAATTAATAATATATTACACACTTTAACGGACACGATCAGTTATTTCATGGAATAACTAGGTGTTCTATGAAATAACTGCATTATATACTTTAGCGGTAACATATACAATCGGTCGGCTACGTAACATAATTTACAGAGCACTCAAAGGACAAAGAGTAAATGCTCTTTGTTACTCAAACTTTTCTGGAGAATTTACTCCGGGGAAAAGTAACTCCAGTTGACTCTACAAAACATGATAAAGAAATCTTGATTTCTTAAAAAGTCTGTTAATTATACTCTGTAATAATTAAAATGTCTGTAATTATTTTAGGAGGTATTTTTAAAGTGCGAAAAAGCGGATGAGTCCAAAGTATAAATTTTAGACATACATTTCATAAAAATGTACATTTATATTACAAAAGAACGAGAAATGCATTAGATTGATTGTATGTACATAGAAAATGCTCTGAAATCACATCATTTTATACACATTACTTTCCCAAAATTAAATTAGAAATGACAATTCAATTTTTAAAAAAAAATAAAAAAGAAATCTAAGAAATTTTTTCGGTAATTCATCTCCGAAATGGAGTCAAAATTTTCAAAATCAGTTTATTTGATTTTGAAAATAAACTGATCCTTTGACGGATGAATTATTTAAAACTTCAGAAATGGGTTAAAATGCTCAGTTTGCAAAGAAGTTGTTCTAACAAATTCATTTAATAACCATTTACAAATGTTAAGTAAAAACTATTCGAATTGTTGCGCAATTCACAATTAGTAATACACAATTAGTATCACAATTCACAATTAGTAATTCACAATTAGTTTGCGCAATTTAATATTATATGTTTTGTTTCCCTATAGATCATCCTATAGCAGATAAAGAATCGAGAAACCGATACTTTTTAAGATATTACAAATTATGCGTATAATTTCAAACAGATTTTGAAGACAATATGCCAAAGAATTTACTTTTTAGCAACCATCGCAAAAAGTAATATTTTTAGGAAGTAGTTATTTCTTAAAAGAAAAAGTAATAATGCTCGAGAATGATGTTTCAATAACAAATGCAGAGATATAGCGACCTGTTTAAATATCATTATATAAAAATTAATACAAATCCTTCTTTTTCATAACAATTTGATAAATAAAGTTTACAATTCATGTCTGGAAACTGTGATTTGCATTTACTTCTGATTAATGTGACCCCAAATTCAAATGCTGGAAAGGTTTATTAAGCTTAATTATCCTCTTTCTTTTTTTAAAAAAAAAGAACAATCCATGGTTGCTTGTTGATCAGAAATGCTACGAGGGTTGTAAATTAAATAGTGGCAACTTAACCTTGAAACTCACAGAAGGGTGGGCATGCGCAAATAGGATATGGGAACGGTGAGGTGGCGCTGTTGTCGATGTGTAGAGTGTAAAATACAGTCGATCTGCTTAGAAGGGTAGTTGTTGTGTGGCGTTAAAGTGAGGAGTTTCGTTTCTATCGCTCTAAAGCATGTTTTCAGAAGGTGATCAGCTGTCGTCGCTTAAAATTGAGGTTGCCCGTGGTAAAAATGCAACAGAATGCTACCGAGGATTAGTGGAAGCCTGTGGGGCAAATGCTTTACCGTATTGGACAGTAGCACGATGGGTTCAAGCATCTCGTCTTTTTCGTCATTAAGCCTTTTGAAAACATGCTTTCGAGCGATGGAAACGAAACTCCTCACTTTAACGCCACACAACAACTACCCTTCTAAGCAGATCGACTGTATTTTGCACTCTACACATCGACAACAGCGCCACCTCACCGTTCCCATATCCTATTTGCGCATGCCCGCCCTTCTGTGAGTTTCAAGGTTAAGTTGCCACTATTTAATTTACAACCCTCGTAAATGTAGGTATTTAATGGTATTTATTTTAGCTAATACAAACGTGTATTTTTATCGTACGTCAGCTGTCTGAAAAAAATCTGCATTGATTCGGGTTTCATTTTCACAAAAAAATCACAGCTGGAGTAGTATACTAAAATTATTAATGTGTTGTGATACTTGTAGATGTGTTATTTGGTTTTGAAAACAGAATAAGTCATTATTTTTATCTCAACTTTTTTATACTTAATTCCATGATTTGAAGCTCGGGAAATTGCGAATAAATTACCTTTTATTTGTTAGAACAAACTTTCACTATAGCTCTAGCTCTCAAAGAAATGTGTTTCTATTATCGATGCTATTTTCGTAGCCTACAGTGATTTAAGCTTCAGTTCTTTAAAAACAAAATTACAACTACACTGCTACGAAAACACAACTACACCATAAAATCCATTTTTACTGTGAAATATTATAGCGTAATTCTTGCAATAATATATTAAATTAGAGTGATTCAGTGAATTGAAAGAAATTAATTATTACTGTATAAGTTACGGTATGTTAGATTTTTTGTTCTCAATAATACGGTAAAAATGAATTTTAAGGTAAAAAGTACCGGCACCCTGAGTTCTGGTACTTTTCACAGTAATTTGATTCTGAATTTTTTGCAGTGTAGAGTAACATACTAAAATTATTAATGTGTTGCAAAGTTACAGATGTGTTATTTTTTTCCAAAATTGGAATAAGTCATTACTTCTATCTCTGCTTTTAACTTCATTTCCCTTTAAGAAGCTCGAAAAAACCTCAAATAAGATTTCATTTATTTATTAAAATAAACTTCTGTTTGATTATCTCCAGTCTCCTTAAAAATGCCTTTTTATTATTCCCAAATTGGGGAAAACCCCAAATTAAATTTCATTTATTTATTAAAATAAATTTAGATTTAACTATTTCCAGTTCCTTAAGAAATACCTTTCTATTATCGCTGCTATTTCTTAATCTGCGTTGTTTTCAGTTTCATTTTTTTAAAAACAGAGTTACAAATAAAAGTATTAATGTGCTGCAATACTTACAGATGCGTGATTTTTTTTTCTACAAATGGAATAAGTCATTACTTCTATTTCTACTTTTTAGTTAATCCCAATATAAGAAGCTCGAAAAACCTCAAATAAGATTTCATTTATTTATTAAACTAAACTTCTATTTAATTTTCTCCAGTCTCCTTAAAAATGCCTTTTTACTATCAATGCTATTTTTTTAATTTAATTTGATTTAAGTTTCATTTTGTTAAAAAAAAAAAAAAAAAAAAAAAAAAAAAAAAAAAAAAAAAAAAAAAAAAAAAAAANAAAAAAAAAAAAAAAAAAAAAAAAAAAAAACAGAATTACAACTAAACTTATCAGCGCGTTGAAATACTAACAGATGTGTTATTTGTTTTCAAAAATGAAATAAGTTACCTTTTATCTCTAATGTTTACATTATCCCCGATAAGAAGCTTGAAAAAACCCCAAATAAAAATTTATTTATTTATTAGAATAAGTTTACTTATACTTAGCTATCTCCAGTTCTCCAAGATATGCCTTTCTATTATTGACACTATTTTTTTAATTTATCTTGATTTAAGTTTAGAAAAATTTATTTAAAAAAAAAAAACAGAACTACAAATAAAAATATTAATGCATTATAATACTTACAGATATGTCACTTTTTCCAAAAAATGGAATAAGTCATTACTTCGATCTCTACTTTTACCTTTGCCTCCCAATAAGAAGCTCAGGAAAACCTCAAACAAAATTCCATTTATTTATTAGAATAAACTGACATTTAACTATTTTCAGTTCTCTAAGAAATGCCTTTCTATTATCGATGCTATTTTCTACATCTCCATAGAAGTGTATAATTCAATCGAATCCTTTAATGCTTCTATTCCCAAGTCATGCAGCAGACGTAACGTAAAGTTAATAACAATAATTTAATGCAAGTCTCAATACTTTACCTTCAGTATCATTTGGTATTAACATTGTTCGGAGGTTGGTAATATTTAACTGCCCCGTTGGTCATGCTGACATCTTTGATTCAAGGAATGTACCACTGCAGAAGAGAAGCTTTTGTACCTACATCCGAAGGCCCGAGATGGCCCTTAGGGAGTGTTGAAAGTGCTTCCTTTTACCCTAATCTGCAGACATGAAACATCACTTTGGAGGAGGGAGGGGCGAGTTTCCGCCGTTTTAATGGAAAGCTGGGAATAACTGAATTTATTCACATGTCATTGAATGCGTTGCAACGTATTTGGAATATGCGCGTTGATAACGAAATACATTTTCTCGAGACAAGTTCCCTCATTCAATTTTATATTCAATCCCAACGAGAAAGTGTAAATATGCATTTGAATATATATCTGACATTATAGATTGCGTGGAAGCGTGAAAAAGATCGAAAGATTGCTATGCTGTTCTTTTTCATCTTTTGTTTCCTCTTATATTTTTTTAAGAAAAGCTGGGAGCGAAAGAGTCTGAGAATGAGAAGCATTTGAAGTTATTATAAAGATTTAAAATTTGTTATTTATTTACACGATATCATTTCATACACAATATCAATAATGCGTACTATTTTTTTAAAATGGCTAAGAGCGAAAAAGTCTAAGATTGAGCAGCATTTGAAATTCTAATGAAGATTTAAAATTAGGAATTTATACGTACGATATCATTTTATTTGCAATGTTAATAAAACATGCTGATTTCTTAATTTTCCAATTTCTTAAAATAGGAGCAAAAAGGCTTGAGGTTGAGCAGCATTTTCCATGACACTTTTAAGGGGGATAATCCCCAACAATGACGTTGTCGTTTTTAATAAATCTTGTTCAATAATTCAAAATAAAATATGTGAGAAAACCCTTATCACCCTTATCATCAATATCAATAATGCGTACTATTTTTTTAAAATGTCTAAGAGCGAAAAGGTCTAAGATTGAGCAGCATTTGAAATTCGAATGAAGATTTAAAATTAGGAATTTATACGTACGATATCATTTTATTTGCAATGTTAATAAAACATGCTGATTTCTTAATTTTCCAATTTCTTAAAATAGGAGCAAAAAGGCTTGAGGTTGAGCAGCATTTTCCATACTGTGGAAAATATCAACTTTCATGAAAATAAACCATTCTATCTTCCCTGTTATTCAAATGCAAACATAAATTCAGCTTTGTGAGTTAAATATCATTCATAATCAATAAAAATTACAATGAAGAGTTGGGATTAATTCTAAATTTTTTTTTAAGGAATCCAGCTTTCAATTTTAATTTCAACTCCTTCAACGCATATGACCTTTTCAATATTATTTGTTAATCACGCAGTTGAAAAAGTTCTGTCAGAAAACATGAAAACATTTTATTTACGCAAATTTCTTAGTAGAATATTTGCTAATTTATTGTAAATTGTTCATTTAAAATGCGATAATCATAAATAAATTAAAAATTCCTTTAGTGCAATTATTTATTGAAATTCTTGATATTATCTGGTATTCGAAGCATATTTTCGTATTTTAGTAATTCAATTGGCTTCTAAATTTCTAACCGCTAGACATATTTGAATAATAGTTAGAATTAATTGTAGTATTAATAACAGTTAATACTGACAGATATGTCTCATCATTGCAACGAAGATTAAACATAATTTAGTCATTTAAAACCAAGAATTGAAGAATAGTCAAGTATTAATTAAAATATCGTAAATACATATATATATATACATATATATATAATTTACAACCCTCGTAAAT